GTCCTTACTTCGACAAAATCCACATTAATGTAGAAAATGCAGGAACTTAGCTGCTACATATTCCCTACATACTACGGCACTCGTATATCCATTTAGAGCATTACTTATCGATGAAAGCAAGTGACTCTGCAAACGAAGTAAACCGAACGACTGATAAGTTTGACCGTAAACTGACTGAACTTCCTTGCAGGCATTTTGTCGTCTGCTCTTCCCTTCGCAAATCTTTCTCAATCAGTTTTTTTCCACAGTCCGTAATTCATTCGTTCCTTTTTTCAAAATTTTTCAACCTTTAGTTCCATTCTTACTTTATCTTCATGCTTTATTTTCTTTCAATTTATTCTCCCCTTCTCCATCTATTCGTTCTTCGGACTATTATTTCTTTCAGATCGAAGCTGCTTGCCGCCAGAGCATCGGATTCAGAAACGTTAGGTCCCGAATTTAAGCACCGGTCATTTCACTGGCGCTTCTTCCTTCTGAGACAAATTAGTAAGTATCATTTCAAGGAAAAGAAACAAGAGACTATACGCTATTAAGGCCACAAGGCCATACAGACAGCCGTAGAAAAAAGGGCACAATAAAGCATTGCAGACTGCGAGCAAGGAGACGGAGATCAGCGCAACGCCATTTGGTTCATGAAAACAATGAAGCAGTAAATGGCAGAATGTAAGGAAGGCCGATTTCAAACATTCCTACTTGTTCTTTAGCTTCGTTCGTTATTCAATTCAGTCCTTCTTAAATTTCTGAATTTATTATTTCCTTGGTTCTTTTATTTTAAACGCGTTCTTTCCTTCCTTGATCAATTTCTTTCTTATTGAGTTCTTTCTCTTGCTTGTCCTTTCCTTAATTCTTTCCATCCTCCCGACCTCGGTTCCTTTCCTTTTCAATTCGTTTTTTCTTGCTTGCTTACTTTCTAATCTGTCGTTAACAAAATGATTCACAATACAGAGATCGGCGGTAGAAAACCTCAATAGTAGAGGAGCTTAATCTGAAGCAACACAAAG